CAACCCGATAGAGCACATTTGAGATGCCATGGAGCGGCAGCTCAGATCTTAAACACCACCATATATCTGGACTTTATGTAACCGTTGCTTAGACATTAGATACCTGTCCACAGTCATCTACAAAGAACTTGTAGCATCTACGCCAAGGCGAGTTGCCCGCCAAAGGTCGCACAAGGCGTTATTGAGTAAGTAGTGATAATGTTTTAGCTCTTCAGTGTATATAGTGTTTGGATATACTTTCAATAAAGCAGCTCTTCCAACAAATCATCCAAAGAAATAAAATTTTAAGAATCTTATTGAGTGGCGTGCGGTGGAAGTAAGAATACTGAATATGTATTGAAATGCATATATCAGTATATTTAATTATACAGTATTGATTTACAATACGGTGAAGTATAACAAATAATGCCAACTTTTATTATGAACTCGAAATCCTTAGACGTTTTTTCAGAATTTTCGTCTGTTCAAGATATTTTAAGGAATATTTCGCTTACAGCTTATAGTTACCAAAATGTGTTTTAAAAAGAAAACAAATAAATTACATACGAAATTTAATATTACAAAAATGTCTGCAAATCTTGCACAAATATATACATTCAGACCTACTTAACTATGTGATTTATTTTCCGCTTATTATATCAAAGCATGTGACAATAAAAGCAGCCTGCAAGGAATCTTTCCTGAAACAATTTAAACTCGTATATCAGGAACATCAGAATCTATAGTAACCATTATTGGACACACATCTTGTAGAAGTGCTAGCTTATATTCCAAATGTTACATACACCGGATTTTCCATTGATGCTTCACATCAGCTGTTGACAACCGATTCATGTCAGAAATGCTCCTTATGGGGGGGGGAGACGAACCATGCAAATACACTAAAATAATATGAAAATTTCTGCCACATTTATTAAATGAACATTTAAGCACACTTTGGCTAACTGCCTATGGAATGAATGTCTTTGCGGAGGATTTTCTACGGAAAACTGGCTTGTGTGTCCTTTGCACATGGGGAAAACCATGCAGCCAGCCCCTTTGCCTGGAATTGAACTTACAGTACTAGTGTATAGCAATTTTACTACTCCATTGCTGGTGGGCTTAATACAAAACTAATAAATTACATACAATTTATGTATACATAATTGCATAGTCTTTTGTGAAATTTTGTATTCAAGGAGAAAATTTATTCATCACATTAAAATATATCTAAACATTTAAGGATTAAAAAAAAAGGAAATGCGTACAATTGTGGGTCAATGAATGAACTATAATTTTCTTGTATCTAAAATTTGACTATTCTTGTTTCCTTATAAGCATAAAATAGCCTTATATTTTAGCATTGTTGTAACCAACTTTTTTCTCTTACAGCAAGTATAAATCTGTTAAAAAAAAATAATAGTAAAACCCCCACTTAAAAGTTTACATGTGCAGTAATCAGCATGACACTTTGCAGTTAAATGTATTTGCGCATTCCTGATTTTGGGCTTTTAATAAATGATCAATCATTTAACACAATTTGTGATGACGATATGTGAAAGCGGAATTTTTTGTCAACAATCTGCAGTGATAAATGAGTTTTAAATCCAGCATTCTTATTAAAAAATTCTAGAGAAAAAACACTGTGCCAGCATTAATACTCTTGATATATAATTATATTTCAATAAAGCAATCAAACTGCTTGCAAGGTAAGGATAATTCAAGGATGCTTAGAATATGATGGTGGCCATATCACGGCTCACAAGCCCCATACGAGTAGTGCGGCTCTTATGCAAATATATGTAATGAAATATAGTAAACTAAGACAACTTTATGTCCAATGTTTAAAGTAAGGTAAACTTGGCATTCAATGATTGTCTATAATCAGAAGTTTCTTCCCATTTAAAACCTGCTTCACTACTTTTAAAATGATGTAAATATGGTCTCATGGCTTTTGAAAAATATAATTGAAGCTCTCAAATTTTTCCAATTCCAACATATAGCTCTTAGAGATGAAGTTTAGCCACCCCTGTAATAAAGTAAAGATTATATAGTTTGAAAAACTCCAGTACATGGTTCAAAAGTTATGATAATTGGACAACTGATTATGGGAAAAGACAACTAATACCTGCCACAGAAAAGTAATCCATTTGTGAAGCATTTTTGAAGACAAATTGGTTTATATTCATATGAACTATGGATATCAGTTATAACATATGCACCAAGAAACACAATTGTCAATAATAATTTATTTTTGTCTAGTATTATACAGGAATGGTACTTTTCTTTTATAAAAGACTATATGAAACGTGTATAATATTAATTTTATTCAAATATGAAACTTTCTTGTACTTTAATTATTTTTACCCTTGATAAAAATTTCAGATTTTTAGTGCACTTTCTGGTATATATACAACAAAAGAGCCCCCCCCCAAATTTACATGCTTTATACTTAATCATCCTTTTACTGATCAATGCCTTTTTTTGGTAATAACAGATTGAAATAAGACTTAAGATGCTGATAAGAAAGAAAAAGAAAGAAAGCCTTTTTGAATCTCTTCAGAAGTAGTGTTTTTCTTAAGTATAAAGAATATAAAAGTTTGCATTCTATGAAATTGCATTTTCTAAACGGTAAAATTTTGTTGAAATACCACACCAAAAACAAGCAGGTTATGAGAATGTGGTTGGAAAACAGCCATAAGATTTCTTGTTTCTAATAAACTCCTTTTAATATTATTAATGAATAGTACCTACGAGACAAACATAGCCAAACACTTTTCGCCAATTCACAAATTAAAAGGGAACTTTCTCTTGTACAGTAAATAATCAGAAAGTACCAAAATTTATTCTGTGATGGAATGGTATAGCTCACATGAAAATTATATTATTTTGGAATAGCTGCTTGTTTCCTTAAGAATTTATTACCACATAGTGAAGCTCTCATTATAAACTTTATTTGATTGGTATAATTTACACTTTTTGTATAAAATGTCTCTCGTAAATATTAATGATTATAGCTTTTAACCTAAAAAGGGTTGATGCATTTTCTTTAGAACCTATTATGGCATACTAAAACTCATCTGATCAGTTTAATTTATACTTGGTTGTCGAGCGCTATGTTCGCACTCAAAATGACATATTGATGATGCTCATCCAATAATTCTTAACCGTTTTTAATTTGGCATTTATGTTTTTTCCATCAACCATTTTTTGACCCCCCCCCCACACACACAACCCCAAAAAAAAAAAAAAAAAAAAAAAAAAAAAAAAAAAAAACTTGGGAAGATGGTCGCTATCTAATGATAAGCCATTTTTAGTAAAGCTTTCTGAAGTTCCTCATGCTTGGCCTTTCTAAATGTTTTCCCCACAAGCAAAATTTATGCAGTCTCGATTCTTTTCGCATGAAACTGCAGATTAGAATAAAAAAACAATCAGTACCTGCAGACATTGCCGTCGTGCTTACATAGCAGTTAATGATGCTGCCCGCTGTACCGATGGGTTTTGAATTCCACAGAAAGCATGGATTTGTAAGTGTATAATGTCTGTGTAACAAGGGGCATTCATAATACATGATGAGCAGAAGTTCTCTTGAGAGGGTGGTGGTAGGGATATTCTCAGGCCTAAGTTTGAGAGATACCCTCCAACTTAGGGCAGAAGATTTAGAAGTTAACAACCCACATGATATTTAACATATACCAACGGAAATGCAGCTCTTCTTCAATCTGTACCAGTAGATATTTACTGTACTACATCCATTTTAGATTTTTTTAATAATACCGACCTTTGTTGGGGTTGTTAAATTAAGAATCAGCATAATATTCCTAAATGTGGAGGACCAGTTTCGAAGGTTTAATTTCTTCAGCTGCAGAAGCGCAAATGAGTAAAAAGCTTCTGCTCAAGTGATAAAAATGAGAGGAAGGAAGTCAGGCTACTGTTGATAAACTGAAAAAAACAAAATAATTTTTTTTTTGAAAAAATGCTCAGATTTTAAAGAAATCATTTCCTAGTGTCTATCCTATCTAGAATTTCCGATACACAGTCTCACACGTTGGAGTTAAAATGCTTTTTCTGCATAACGTTGCCATTGCTTGATTTGAAATCCTTGAATTTGTTAATAAAAAATTTGTTAAAAGTTTTACAAAATATGAAATCGATAATAAAATAAATTCCAAATTTGGGCTTCCACTTGCCCATATTCGCAGTAGGGTTATGCCATTCAAAATTTGATGGCTCTATGTACCATTGTTTTATCACAATGTGAGAAATATACATACATTTATACAGATCTTTCATTATTTAACTTCTTCAAATATAATGCAGGACTAACATTTGGTGGGAACAGTTTGAAAAGTCGAACTGACATTTATAGTGAACCAACGCAAAATCGCAAAACGAAAATTGTCCTTCAGGGACAAACCTATTTGAACTAAAAACTAACTGTGCAATCAACACTTGAGTAGTTTCCCAGCTACTGCCTCAGAAAGTAACCAGTATTTCTGACAAGTAAAACAAATATTGATAATTATGATTGCTTCTTACTGAACTGAGATAATCAAACTACCAAATACTACCAAAATGCCCAAATTTACTACCAATGTATTAAATAATATTTTTCTCTTCTTACTGTAACACGAAAACTTTTTCATAAAGAAAACAGTTGAATAGTTTTAAATAATTTTTAGCCATTTGCAGTGATATCATGCATTTGTTTATTTTGTTCGTGGTATACTTTACTTGCATAAGTCTTGTAATATACTTTGTAGAACACAAGAAGCTAAAATTAAAAGTTCACACACACAAAAAGACTGTATTAACTTCATCAAAACTGTATTAACTTCAGAATTTCATTTCTATAACAGGAGCCGTTATATTATAGATTGAAGACGTAACATAACAATTCATTTTTAATTTTAATACAATCCCTCAGATTTGATTTTGACAATTTAAACCACCATACATGTAAAAATTAACGTCTTCAATAATTTATCTTAGATGAGATTATTAAAATATATGAATCAGTTTATAAAGACTAGAATTTTCAGATTATTTATTGGAGAAATATCACATTTTTTTACAGCTAGTCAAGAATGGAGAATTTCAATTTCAGAAACTGCAAGTAACATTTTGTCACATAGCAAATATTTCATACAAAATTGTTTCATATCTATAATGGTTACAAGATGCAAACTCACAAGAAATACTATCAACACCCAATAAAATTTTGATTACACCAGTTAAATTTATTTCCATTCAGGAAAAATTCCGTGTTAAGAAATAATTCTTCAATATCAGATGTCACAACAGCATTTTAAAAAAGAGTACAAAAACCACAAGGATGACAAATAATTTAAAACTTGAAAACAGTGATTAATAAATTGCTACTGAATAAGAAACAGTAATTCATTATCAGGATGATAATATTCTCATTAGAAATGAATAGTTATATTAAACACAAACCCATACCCTTAAACAGACCATATAATAAAAAATTGCAAGAAATAAAAGCAGATGTATAGTTAATGTTAATGGAAGATAAAATTCCCTTTACTTGCATTCTAGATAAATAAAAAAATTAAGAAAAAAGATATCAGTACAAAGAAAATATTTCTATCTTAACAGGTTATTTTCAAATGTTCGAAAACAGGTACAGTAATAAATAAATAATAAAAACAAAAAGGTGCAACAAAGGTATTTTTCACTTATGGCAAGCTTCTTTTTTGAGAACACAAACCATTCATTATGGGGAAACTGTCCATGCAGATAATAGTCTGGGTGAACAACTCTCCATAATAATGAATATACATTCAAGATACACAAAGTTTCTTGATTATAATACTGCATTTACATGAAAATAAGATCCTGCCAACATATTACGATAAAATGTTATGAAATAAGAACACTGGTAAATGTTATTTCTTTAATTAAAAGAAAAATCTCTTTTCATGGAAATAATATCTATCATTAGCCATGGTCCAAGTTCCTACCCATTTATTTTCAAGCATATTAATGACCAATATAGTTGATGCTGGCTTAGCCTAAACTGAAATAGTTCACTTACATAGTTATTATAATTACAGACAGTTAATGCAATATATATTAATCCTATGTTGTTTCAGTGTTTAAATAGCACAATGATTCTATACGGTCTAAACTCTTTCCTTTCATTTACCACAGTATCCATTTTTAATATTCTAACAAATTTTTAAGAAATAATAACAAGTGAGCAGCTTATTTTTTAGTAATACAGTATAATAATCACAGCAAACTTCAGAGAAATTTTGCCCAAAAAAAAGTCTTACATAGATGATAAATAAAGTTGACAAATATTGCATCGAGAATTTCTGGCAGGCATTAAATTCTATAAATCGTGAATCTTCCACCCAACAAGTTCTTTGCAAATAAATTACTATGAGTTAAGTAAAAACCAAGCTTAACAAAAAATGAATGTCTTCATTTTTTATGAGGCTTGGCTTTTCTATGAGCCCTGAGCACAAACCATTCATCATGGGAAATTGTCCACGCAGATTGCAATCTGAGTGGACAACTCCCCATAATAAAGGATACGCACTCAAGGCCCACCAACATGAACAAAATAAAATTCTTGATTACATTCAGAAATAAAAGTAATCACAGCTATTTTTAAAGATCAGCCTTCAGAAAAAGTCTGACTAATATTTAAGATAACAAAATTATATTGATGATTTGTGACCAGTATAAGAAAAGATCACATTGATTTCCTTGTGCTGGCATTCCAAACAATAGTTTTGTACTGAAAATAGACTTGGGCAAGGATTCTGCAAGACGGTCCTATAATGAAAAAGGGAAGAAAATTAATAGCATTTATTCTGAGCTATAACATTTAGGATTATGAATACTTCAGTTTATACTTTGTCATTAAAATCAGTTTGGGAATATTAGTTAACTCTGCATATAATCAAGAAAATAAAGAGATCCTAGTTATTTGCTATAATATAATGCATTAAATTTTAATAGACAATTTAATTTTTACACAAGCTTTTACCCTCCCTTTTTCTTCTTATTTTTTAAACTACAGGGAACATAAAAGAAACTTACTTGATGACGTAAATTTTAAAAATGAATTCCTATAAGATACTAAAAATTATAGGTTTTTGTGATACCCATATAACCTCAATTAATTTTCATGACTAACGAAGCTGTAATCTACTAAAGTGTTGGATTTGTATAAAATGATTTAATGGATGAATGTTTCCAAATGACACAAAAATATGCAATTCAACAGTTTGACCAACACTATTACATAGGATATTGTAGTTAAATAAAGCAATTATGTAGTTTGGTTATAAAAAAGATTATGTTGATATCTCGAAATGTTAACTTAATAATGAAAGTTGATTTATCATTTCTCTTTTCAAATTATGTTTACATAAAATTAAGTTGGACTAAACATAGAAAAATTAAAACAGCATTTATGTTGCATATGATTTATTTATATGTGATAACTATCACATAATTTTTACATTTTTGGCAACAGATTTAAAAATCTATCCTGTGTGAAATGGAAGCTTCTCACTTTCATACTTTGGCATTTCTAGTAACATTTTCTTTATGGGAAAAAAAGAAAAACCATTCTCGCTACTGTTTCCTTGTACTTTTGTTTTTTCCACAGCTTGACTTCTTTTTTTACTTGTGATTAGTGAACACATTTTCATACTTCACTATTTCTTCAGTTAAATTATTTAATGATCACAACTAGAAGTAGATTAACCTTTACAGAAAGATCCAGAAGCTATAACTTTCTCCGGGTTTGAAGTATTTCTAAGGCAAAATGGCCACATATTTAAGTTAAAGGAAGGGAAAAAATACATGGCAACACAAGAGAAAAAAAACTAATGATAAAAAAAAATCTATTCTGTATATAATGTAGCTTTCGTGATCACATTATTACTCATTCAGTTGGTATTTTAACATGTCCATTATATGCTACAAAACTATGTGTAGCTATCTATCTGCATTCTATTGGATAAAGATATAGAATCAAAAAATACGCTTGAAAATTATAATCAGAACATTGTATAACTCACAGCATTTATTTAAAAAGAGATCAACATTTCTTGAAATGATTAAAAAGAGAATTTAAAACCTTTATTTCAAAAGATTAGAAACAATGTAGCAAACTATCAAATAATTTTATATTAGAAAAGGCAAAGAGAAAAAAAGGTGTGATATCACTCAGCAAATACATTTAATGCTTAACAATATTTTCACGCAACATTGTGAAGTTTGACTAATTTCATGCATTTATTTTGTTAACTTTACTACTACTCATTCTTGCAGAAAGCTTGAGTCATATTGTAAAATAAAAACAATAAAATAATTAGTCCATCTTTGTTTAATCTTTTATTTATATAGGTTTACCATAATATTCTTTGAATTTTCCAGGAAAATTTTGAGAACATACAACAGAAAATAAAACCTACTAGGTTAGGTACCTACGACTGAAAGTTTTTAACAAAAGCTACAACAGAGTCAAAAGAAATTTTTAATAATTCTACTGAACATATCTTAGTATTAAGAAGTTATTAATACAGTCAAAAGTCGTTAATCTTGACTCGTCGGCACTTCGGCGATTCCAGATTATAGATCATCAGTTTAAATCTGGTAAGATAGCATGCAGAAATTATAAAATTAAAAATAGAAAACCATAATTTAAGAAATAAAGAACAGTTATGATCTAAAAAAGTATCAAAATTTAGGGGAAAAAAAAAAAGCTTAATACAGTCAAAAGTCTTTAATCCGGACTCGTCGGGACTTCGGCGATTCCTGATTATCGATTTTTCCGGATTATAGATCATCAGTTTAAATTTGGTAAGATCGCATGCAGAAATTATAAAATTAAAAATATGAAACCATAATTTATAAAATAATGAGCAATTATGATCTAAAGGGTATCAAAATTTATAAAAAAAGAAGCTTAATATTTATTTGTTTACTTTATTAACATTTCTTTCAACGGGCACATGCGTAAAGCATACATTACGCAAAGTCGAAATTAGAAAATTGCAACCAGAAAACTATTTGATTTGTATTCGTGATATTTATAATGATGAGGAATTTTATTTAAATCATATCAAAGACGGAGTAGATCGAGATGAAATACAACATTTAGTAAGGAATTATAAGCCAACTAAAATAAAAACATCTGCCCTGAAGATACCGATAGTGCTGACAGATCAACTTCCAGTTCATTGCTCGCCGCGACATCCCCCCCCCCCGCAGAGCAGTGTGAAATTGATAAACAGATTTCGGAACGGTTAGATAAACAAAGGATATGCCTTTATCCATTTTTTGTAGCAATTCCACTTTTTGTTTGATGGACATCGAAACATACTTTCGTTTTGTAGATCCTTTGGGAGCTCCAGCATCGGAAATTCTATTTGACATAATCGAAAGTTCAAGCTTACTTTTATAAAATTGCTCTTACAGTCTGCAAAAAATAATAAGCCGGATCCAATTCGAAGATTAAGGAACAACGCAATCATCAACATTAACTGCAATAGATAATTAGATAATTTTAGCTTATACCATCCGTTATTAAACGCGCATGCGAAAACATATTCTACGCTTGCGCAGACGCACATGCAAGTCGTAAAGGTCTTGCGTGCACGCGTAAACGCCTGCCTATGCGCATGCGCAAAAAGATTTTAGCTTTGAGGTCCGGATTATGGGTGTCCGAATTAACGACTTGACTGTATTTATTTGTTTACTTTATTAAACATTTCTTTCAATGTAAATTGTTTCATTTTATGTGATAATACTTTCCCTTTAATTCTATAAACAGACATAATTTCTTGTTCAGTTACATGCTGCGTCAAGAATACCGACTAATTTGTCAATCGAAATTTTTTCGTTTTCAATAACCTCTGTGATGACGAGGTATTTGATTTAAATCATATCAAAGATGGAATACATAGAGATGAAATACTACATTTAGTAAGGAATTATAAGCCAAATATAATGAAAACATCTGCCCTGAAGATAAGGTACCCAATTCAGAAGATAAGGCCCATTCAAGTACTTGCCAATGAATTCAACATGGACAAAGAGACAGTTCGGCGAATTTTGACGCAAGAAATAGGCAAATGCAAGATTTGTTCCTCACTATTTGAGGGACGAACAAAAGCAATTGAGACTGGACGCATGTGGCGAACTTACTGACAACGCTGATGCTGACCCTGCGTTCCTGGATAGGATAGTAGTCATGGGAGACGAGTCTTGGCGTTATCAATATGACCCTGAAACCAAGCATTAAAGCTCCAAATGGCGGTCTCCGAGTTCACCAATGTAGAAAAAATTTCAATTTGAAAAGTCCAAAATCAACGTCATGTTAATCGTTTTCTTCAATTGCAATGGACTCATTCATGAATTTCTTCCTACTAACATGACTATCAATGGACAGTTCTACACAGAAGTTCCTGACCGACTTCGAAAACTAATTCGTAGAATGAGGCCTCATTTTCAATAAAATGGGAATTCGCTGCTGCTAAATGACAATGCCCGCTCACACATTGCGTTGCCTGTGAGGAGATTCTTAGCCTAGCAAGATGTTGAAATGCAGCATTCACCATACTCTCCAGACCTAACACCCGCAGACTTCTTCTCGTTTCCTAAGGTGAAAAATTTGCTGAAGGGAACAAGATTTAAGGATGTCAAAGCCATCAAGAAAACTATAACGTCACTATTAAAGAGCATTCCAAAAAGGACTTTAAATCTTCTTTCAAAAATTTGTACAGCCAAGCACAGACGTGTATTACGGCTGATGGGGATTACTTTGAATCATATTACATGGCTATGTGTTTAACCTTTTTTTTCTTCAGAGTTATTCCATAAGTCCTGGAAATTAATAGCCGGATCTTGTAATATTTTCAGAGAGGCTGTTACGACATGGAAGTGAATGTTATCATTATGAAGATATTTTGACATCTAAAAATAGAACTAGAAATAATAGAAAAATAAATTTATGCTTTGCTGCGAATGTCAACCAATTTCATTAAGGCACATTATCAAAGCTCATTAGCAACCTCTTCTTTAATACATTACTATCTACATAAGATATAACAAGCAATGTTTTGTTACAAAATAAAACTGATACAACTAAGTTAGAAGCCATTTGATGTTTACATAATTTTTGTCTAATATAAAATACTCCTCCCTTTTAATTATCTGCATTTCCCACTAAAAAATCTCAAAACTCATTGGTAATTTTAGAAACAAACATTTTGGTATCTTTAAGTCTAGAAATCAACTGGCATAGGCACTTAAAGCAACCTAAGATCGAGATAAATATTCTACTTCAATACTTCAGAACATTTAAATAAACAGAAGAAAAATGACCCATCTTCATTAGCTGAATCTTGAATTGATGGCATCAGCACATTTGTGCCCTTTATCGGTTTCAGCAGGGTAACTGTACTCAGAACTGCTGTCAAGAAATACGGGATATTGAAAGGAAGGTCTATTTTACAATAAAGCTTGGCGGTGATTTCATTTACTTCTTTAATTTTGAGGCTAGTTTTAAGCTATGATTTCGCAATGATGTCGGCATTGCCCCCATTCTGTTACTAACTGTGGATGCTCGATGAGCATCCAAAAGAGAGAGCACTAAACAAGTGCTGTTTTCATTGATGAACTAATTGGCAGAGAGCTTGGAGGCATTTTTCATGTCTTTGGCAATTGCAAACAATTTCATTAAAATTAGAGAAGTGACTGAAATTACTCACAAGCCTTGTTGCAATAGAGCCTGCAAAAAAAGACGAATGTCCCAAAGACACCCACTCAAGATCTGGCTGACAGAGCAAATGGGTCTGCGGAAGCTTCAGTTATTTAAATTTCATTCTATTTGTTTAAACATGGTTCTGACATGTCGACCTAGAGTCTTTATTTTTAAATCTATTTTAACAATGGCAGCTTTTATTTACATTTTTTACAAAATAATTTGAGAAACATTTCTGGGTACTTAAGTTTTATGCCATGCACAATTTAACACCAATTATGGATAAGCGTGACATCGCAATAAAGAAGGTCTTTCATATGATGTAAATCTGCACTTTCGTACGATGTAAGCCCTAATGATTGTTTTCAAGAACAAGGATGCAAATTAACTGTTATTGCTATATTTTTCTCTGGTATTTTGAAAAAAGGAAATTCAAGGACTATAGAGTTACATTTGTGACTGCACTCCACTTCATTTACAGCTGGTCAAAATAATAAACATCAGTTAAAGGCACTGAAACAGCTGGATATGGATGGAAAACAGCTACAGATTAGAACAATCACCTCTGAGAAGTTTATACTCATATAGTGTTCTAAATATAGAGTTGTCTAGCAGAAACTGGGAAGAATAAAAAAAAAAGAGCAAAAATTAACAAAAACTTTTTTTAAAAGCACAAAAACAAAGTAGGTCAAATACTTCTGCAGCAATGGCTAGTTGATGGATGTGCATAGTTCAACAAATGTTTTATTTAAGAGATCCAGATACAACTTCAGCTCTGCAAGAATGACTGGCAGAACAGTCACAACTTTCACAGTCAACAGGATAATACGTAACTATCCACTTCTGTAGTTATTTTTATCCATTGTTTTTCCCATGTAAAGAAATCTGCTTAAAAAAAAAATAATAAAAAAAAAAAATCGATTACACAAACTTAGCATCATGCATCTGCCACGATCACCTAAGAACAGATGGAACTTGTACATACCCTCAAATACAATAAAAATCAATTAATTTCCAGCTTCATTACAAGTTTCTACAACAAAAATAAAGGTATTCGTTGCAAATAGAAACAAACTGCCATGACCATCAATTTTCGAAAGTGTTCATCAACGTGTACTCAAAGACATGCAATACATGGGTTGCTATATACATAAATTTTGGCATACACTGCTTCTTTAATAATTTTTCACAACCTTTTTCTTAAGAAGGGGAGATAATCATAAAGTATAGTTCGACCATCTCAAGTGCAACTCTGGTTGGCATTCTGCCAAAACACATAGACTTGCCCAAAAGGGGTGGTATTACTTGCTGCGACGTGAAAGGTCTTCTCTTCTCCGGAAAGAACATCCCCATCCTTCCACCCTATTTTGAGAATAAGTAGGTCCGAATGGCGCACGTGTGTTTGCGCTCATGGTTATGGATGAGGCGGTCAAACTATACCCATATTATTTTCATGAAAGCTTCTTTTGTACACATACTGGTACAATCATGAGGTTCACCTATATGTATGAATAAGCATCACATAAACTTAAAATGATTTGTATAGGATTTGCAAAAGAATATTAAAACAGTGGAAGCAATTTAAGGATTGCTACCTATATTCTAAAATTATTACGCTATACCATTACGTTGATCCTTCAGTTTTAAGAATGTATATTTAATTTGAAAAGAAATCTTCCAAACATATTTTCATAAATATTTTACTAACCATATTAAAGTAGACATGTTTTAATAAGCTATACTTTGAAGTTTACTTAAATGTCATATTTTGTACAGTAAAAATATAAAAAATATCTTAGGAAACGTGAGGCAAAATGGCTCCCTAAAATTGCAGACAAATTATAAAAGCGAGAATATAGAATTCTAAAACAACAAACCTTAGCATGTCTTTTGATTATCATACATTGATTGATACAAATCTTTAATTTGGTTCTTCAAGCTTCAGCAAAATCTATAAGACACAAACAGGTTTTTAAACAATTAATTATAAAATAAATTTTGAAACCAAATAGTTTACTGAGTTTTACACATGTTAAATTTAACAGGAAATTTATTTACAACATTTCTAACAACCATTTTTGGCCTTAAGAAACTTCACTCCAAATATTGAAAGCATTTCTCTTCTACAATAAAATATTTTTTATATTAAAGTATAATTTACATTAAATTATTAAAGTATAATTCAAATTACTCTTTATATTAAAGTATATTTTAAGTATTTCTCCTTTGTTAGCTCGTTTGGGCTCTAGTGTAGAATTGGGTGCCCCTTCGATTAGCGACAATTTTTGATAGTTTTTAACTTTGTTTTAGCATCCTGATTTTATTTAAATGAAATAGATTGATGTGTACATGTACAAATTTAAGCCAGTGTGCAATGCTTAGTTTGTGCAATTCTAGGATGTTTTTTAAGTGAAAACAGATCAATGTGTACATGGACACAGAGTTTGCGTGCAAATATCTTTGACTTCTTTATTTTGATTTTGTGTAGCGGCCATCTTGAAATGTGCCTTCCGCCACTGATCTTGGCATCAAAAAAGAATCGCCAAAAAAACAAGGGGCACCCAATTGTAAGCTTTTACCATAGTTTGTTCCCTGAAACTTTATTCCAAACAGTTCCCTTATAAAATCATCTTCCCTTATAAAAATAACATCTATCCCAGTTTAAATTATTTTTATATTTACATGCCTTTTGGATATTTGTATTTGTATATTTATTACATATGGGAAAAGTCAATATGTGCAAACTGGGTAAATTTTAGGCATAAATTAAGCCTAGATTGATTTTAGTACTAAAATACATATAATAAAACCATTCAGGTCAGATACAGATTTATAATTCTAAATTTGAAAGAAAGCACATAACATATTTTATCTTATAAATGTGAGAGATTCGTATACATAAAATAAAATTTTAAAAAATGCTACTATGGAGAACAACTTCCGTTTTACATAATAAAATGCTGGTAGATTCGCACTCATTTAGTCTTGTTAGAATCTGCAAATATATATATATATAGCCTCTTAAAAGAAAAACAATTTTTGTGAAGTAGACCTTATTTATAATCTAAAGATAGAGATTTTTACATTAGGCTAATTGTCGAACGTTAGAATATGAATTTACAATGGATAGGAAAAATGAATTCTCATATTCTCCACTATAACCTAAAACTACCACGTGCTCAGATGAGCGTGCAAATGATAAGATAAATAATAAAAAAAAAATGTTAAATATTATTATACGGATGTAAAGTTAGCGAAAAACTTATTTCGATATTGTTCCTTAACATAACAACAAAATAATACTTTTAATTTGCGCGGAATTTTTAAGTTAATAAAAGAAGCTACAGTTCTGGAGCTTTACTGACTCAGCACTGCATACTGAAGACAATTTACACAAATAATTCCTAGTATTTGGAAAAGAAATTAGAAACAGGGTATAAAACATCAAAAAAGGTTCATAAAAATTTATTACATGTACTCATCACAAGAATAAACTATTTTTTAAGCACATTTTACCTTACGAATCCGAAACATGCTTCTACTCGGGAAATCACAGACAGCAACTTACCTGCTCGCTGCTTGAAATATCTCCGAGAAACGAGGCATCACTTTTGGTTTGCATTTTGACGTCATGGTTTTTACTCTCGGTTTGTAACACGAGAGTACGAAACAATTTCGAAACTTATCATTCGTATCATGTCTGGGTTGCACGAACTTGGCTCTTTTAAGAATATGGGCGACATTTCATTATGCCATTATTCAAGATTGTTCTATTACATGATTATTACATGATGATGCAATATTTCAAATTCATCAATATTTCAAATCTTTTGAATATTGATAATTGACTAAATGATACTGATAATTAATTAAGTTGAATATTGATGATTAATTAAAATGATTTGAATATTGATCGTAAATGATTTCATTTTCAGGTTATAATCATTTAAAAGTTTGTTAAACGATTATGACCTAGAAAATTATCCCGCCATCTGCAAATATTCTTGGATTTTGATTTTAGATTGTTTGTGTCATAAAGATATTTTTGCAAGATTAGAAATACAGGCGTCATTTTGGAAGTATAATTTTCACGAAAATATGATTATGCCTGAAGATGTATTCACGAATAAAAATGGGACGATTTTAAGAATTCCGAGAAAACGTCCAATGTTAAAAGACGATGCACATCCATGCATATTTAACGGCTGTCCAATATATATGACGGAAAACTCACCGACAGTCAAGAGCAGCAGAACGGGAAAATTAATAGAAAAGAAGAAAGAAATATTAACTCTTTTGATGGAAAACGACAAAATTAATGGATTTGATAAATTATTAATAAATGTTGATATCAAAGTTAGAGAAACTGTGAACAAAAATACGAAATTCATTAACTATAAAAATTCTGAGGAACTGTTTCTTGTGTTTTTTTGTCCATCTCCATGCATTAAAAAATCCTTGGTTTAATCTTAGTATACGGTACACTCGGGTATTGGCGACATTGACATTACAAATGTTTTAGCGAGCCCTATAAATATTTTTTTTATAAATATATCCTTGTGAACATTGTTCGTAATTCTATACAGTTTAAATAATTCTTATAGGCTATTTAAAAAAGATTCTATTAAAGTATCAGAAGAACCGTCGAAAGGTGTAATGCAATCGTTTGATTCGTTCTCTTCAATCGATGACATTCCATGTACATTATTTACTGGATGCTTATATAAACGAACATCTCAAGGTTTCCGCGCTTTGGCCAGCTGCCAAATTCGAACAAATTCCTAACTGCTGTTAGCGCCAGGATTTTCTCTTACATTCACTATGCGTATCTTTTTTATTTTGCATTATTATTTAACAGGACATAAATTCACAACAAACATAACCGAAATACTTTATTCTACTACTCTTTTAAAAAGTGCATGAGAGTCATTATTATCGTCTGCCGCCGTGGTTACATTCCTTATCTCTCGTTTTTTTCTTTTTAAATTACAAATGCTTTGAATATCTTTCAATATATCATGACGCCATCTGGTGGTAGACTGTGGAAATTGCTAACATTCGGGCATCCTGTCTAAACAATTGTCCTCAACTGTCGCCTTTTTTTTTAAAACAAACATTGATGAGATTACCGCAAGAAACCGCATTTTACGCACAGTATAATCATAATTTAAAGTTCTAGAATGAGTAAAAAGCTCTAAAAAAGTACAAAAGTTCTAAAAAAGTTCTTAATGAAGTTTTTCCAGTAATGTTCTTTGTAGGTTCGGACAAAAAGAAAAAAATAACAGTTTACATTATCTGTAGCTTCACGAGTTAATATCCGAGTTACCTGGTTCCTCTTCATCAAACTCGTCTAGGTTATTAGCATGCTGACTCACGTAGATTGTTGTTGTATACAGTCTAACACGCTCGTTTTTTACTTCCTTGTACGAAGTAAAAAGGAAGTATTGTAATCGCGAAAAGTTTCAGGCAGCATATTTCAACGAAAATATCCATTTTGATTGCTATCGAATGCAATTTAACGATGTTTTTGCGTGATACCTGTACATGAGGACAGAATAAAATGCTCTTTTCCTTCAAAAAAATTATAAAACTGCTTTAAAATTAATTCTGAAGAGAATTTTTCGTGGCGTCTGTACGAACGTATGTACGTACGTACGTATCTCGCATAACTCAAAAACGAGTAGACTCAGAACGTTGAAATTTTGTATATAGGACTGCTATAACATGTAGATGTGCACCTCGTATTTTGGTTGCAATCGGCCGCACCAGACGTATATAAATATATTTATATATATATCCACTCTGTTACCCGGCTCAGTGATCTCAGTTTCTTTACACTTACATGTTTGTAAATTGTACATTTTTTGCTTTCAAAATGATTGTATTATGTTGTTTTTATCTTCCCGTTAAGGTTTTTATGCCTTTAGTAAATCTGTATGCAATATTTTTAGACTTATCAACAATTTTAAAGTTGTCTAAGTGCCTCTAAGCCTTTTTTTTATGGCGGCCATTGATGTTTACATTTGAAACAGGAGACTAGTGGATTTGTTGCCAATCTAGAGAAACTTAGCTTCGCAACAACAAAGATAACGCATTCATTTATTATTGCCAATTAAATCATGCTTAATTCTTTCCGGAATTTTTTCGAGGAAATAAGTGTTTAAGATTTACTTCGTAATTTTTAATATAGACATTTTGAGTTTTTATGTATTTTTGCCTTCTCGCGAAGTGAGAACTGAATTAATTGAATGAGAAATACTCAATCGTCTGTGAAAAACTGTTCCTGTTTTGTTTTGTTTGCTTAATTTCTTTCAGACACCATTCTAGCTTTATTATAGTATTTGAATAGAACATGTGTCAACGATTAGATAATTCTATTCTTTAAATGATATAAATTTTGTGCATTATGAGTTATAATATGAACGAAATATATAAGTTAACAGTTATATAATTATTGGATTATATAACAGTTAACTTAGTTTCCGTTATATAATTATTATATAAGTTAACTGTTTATAATTATTAATACTGTTAAGTGAATCTAGCGCCAGAGTGTCGCTATAGTAAACAAATACTAGAGTGAATTTTAAAAGAATGCATTTATTCTATTGCGGTTTATGGGCTGTCGGCGAAGTAGATTTAATTCAATCCAATAAGTTTAAATGAAATTCAAGAAAAAAAAAGGATATAATTTAATATTCCGTATAAGGAAGTCATGTGGTGTACACATCAGATTTTTTCTTCTTATAGTAGTACTTCTTCATCTTATTTCCCATCCGCTCTTTTACTTCTTTCAGCATTAATGAGGTAAAAATTTTCAGTACTCTTTCTTTACTCTCAGCTTGAGTAATATGACTTCTCCTTGGCATTTGATGTTCTATTTCTCGGTGCGTGGTTTCCGAATAAGATGACATTTGCAGGGACTTATCTTCACTCATCATTTGGCCTGAATGTTCGTCGAACCAGTAAGTCAACTGACTGAGCCGAATCTGGCACAATTAATACTGGAATATCTTTTGCCACTACGTCATCAATTTTTAAGTCCACAGATGCTGCACCAAGACTATTTATCAGCCAGTTTTGATTGCTGAAACCAAACAGTTCCTTTTTGCAAGATGAAATGTTTATTCCCAGGCCTTTCGCAGCCGATTCTTTAAGTAGACATGACGACGTTCCCGTGTCAATCATTGAAGACGCAATACGATAATTGTTAATTAAAGTATTCCTCAAGTACATATCAGCTGCTGCGGATGAGTCATCAAGACCGTGCATGTTTAGTGTAGCTTCTTTTTTATTCTTAGGGCAATATTTCTTGAATGGCCTTTCAATCCGCAAATTTTGCAGGGATAGGGATAATATTTTGAAATATGACCAAAGAGATTATATGAAAAACATTTGGGATCCTCCTTAGAAGTGCATGATCATTACGAGTGCTTAAATTATGTACCCTGATCATTACGAGTGCTTAAATTAAATAGTTTTTGTTTTTCATTATATTTATGCATGGGCGAACAATCTTCGCAATATTTATAGCTTCTCGTCGTGTCTCTGTTTTGGAATCTATTAGGGTACTTGCATATTTTTTAACAATTTTTTTAACGGACTTAGTGACCTCAGAGAGACGTTTATGACTTTACCTCAAATAATTCATTATTTTTGATATGGCATTTCAACAACGAAGTGGAAGGGCTTCATTGTTTCCCCTTTCAGATCAACCGCAGATGCAGAAATTCAATCACGGACTTTCTACATAAGCCAAAAGGACTCAGATGGGGATCACTAAGACTTCCCGACTGTGGGCGAAGGAAGGTCTTTAAGGAAACGAAAAAGGCACTATCAGCAGGTTACTGAGTTTTAACGAGGTTGTGTAATAAGGCTAGCAGAGGGCGGATTTTCTTTTCATTAGTATTGCAGAAAGACTTATCAGAGATGTATTCACTATGCATGCGTGTTGGGAGCAGTGATCGCGGGAAGATATTGTCTCAAGAAGGCCAGGATTCAGCATCACATGCCCCGTCACTCAAAGCTGAAGGCCGCAATATTGGCTGCTGCATTTGCAACAGGCATTATAGCTTTTATTGGCACCAGAGTGTGTTTAAGCGAACTGTAATAAACCGATCACTTGAGGGAAAGTTCCAAACCAGGCTCACCAAACTATAAACTCCAAATCACCGTCATCTGCGACTTCGACGTTGTCAAGCTAGAGCTCACTGAAGGGTAGAGTGGAGATGTGTTGCGTTCTGGAGATGACAGCCGCTTCTGTCTTGGTGCCAGAGAGGGCCGCGTATTTCTGAACCATACTCCATTTTTCGAATTTTTGACGTCGCTGAAATATCGATTAGTTTCACCTGGCAAATAGAGAAGATGGCATACCCTATTTTGACTGCTACGGAGCGCTTTCGAAAGAATTGCGGTGCTGATTGTGTGTTTAAGTGCTAATTGCTTAATTTAAATTATTATGACTGGAAATTTACGCAAAATCTTTGGTGAATGGTTATTGTTTATCGGCATACTGCATTTGAGGAAAGAGAAGAATAACAATTCACTACTGATGTGTACATTAACAGTATGAAAAATCTGGAAGGTGATACTCAGCAA